TCCATCTGCGGGCTCAGGGGAGCTCTTAGCTTCCTCCTCCCGGTCCCAGAGTCACCCAGATCCGGTTTAAACGCAGCGCGGGGTGCAAACCCATGCTACAGTGAGGAGCGCCAGCTCAGCGCAGCACGGCCTGGCCAGGACCCGGGTGCCGGTGTATCACCCAGAGGGAGAGGCTGCCAGGAGGAGGTGACGCTGGCTGGCTGGGCAGGGCGGAAGGGTTGACCGAGAAGCCGAGAAGGTGGTGTTGCCTGCCTGGGAGGAGCGTTAGACAAATGCCCAAAAGTTGGAGCAGAGTAGTTTGGGCAACTCCCGGGACTGCGCCAAGGCAGCCAGAGGAAGGGGAGGCTGGGGCAAACACGATCGCAGAGACTGGGAGGCGGCTAGGGCCAGAATCTTGTGCCGGTGGAGAGGCCGAGGCTGGGGCTGGAGCCGGCAGGGCAGGTGTGACAGTTTCGTGCACTTACTTCCCTGAGGCAGACACTCACTCCGTCCACAGCCCACTGGGCAAGTAGGTTGATTAATGAGCCTCCAGCAGAGTCTAGGAAAAGGCGTCCACAAAAGAAATAAGGTCCATTCCAGTCCAGACCAGGAAATACCAGAGTGAGTGCCACGCTAGGGCGCGGCTGAGGGGCCTGAGGGGACAGGGCTGGGTGAGGGCCTGGAAGGCCCCAGTGACCCTGCTGGGGGCGGGAGCCGTCTGGTGTGGACAGAGGCCAGGAATGCAGAGGGAAGGAAGCAGGTCTGACGGCCACAGGACAATAGCTGACTCACCTGTGCACGACCCAGCTTACTTGTTTGGCCTCATCAGGTCCACCTGGGGTGAGACAGGCGGCTGGGCCCTCAGGAATGCACTGGGCAGCTCAGTGAGTCACCCAGCATCTCTGGGCCACTTGTTCTGGAGAGCCTGTTAGGGCTGGGAGTCAGAGGCTGGGGTCTGAGCTCTGCAGTTGATCTATAGATGGTATTTTTAGGCTCTCCTGGACTTTCCATGCCTCAGTTTCCCTCTTCACACAGCCTGCCACTAAGCTGCCACTAAGGACCCCAGAGTTGGCGAGAGGGGTATGGGATGGGTGGTGAGCCCAGGGTGAGCGGGAGAGTATTAGCCTTCTGTTACTCCACACTGCCACGTCTCTGCACACTGCCACGTCTCTGCACACTGCCACGTCTCTGCACACTCTCAAACACTTCCACGACAGACGCCCAGTCTCAAGGGCAGTGTTCCCAGGCCCACTTCACCACCTATGCTTAATGTCTACCCTTTCCTCTGGGTGATGAGATTTCCTGGGGTGCAAATCCTTCTGGGGCTACAGGCCTGAAAAGCACTGTAGAGTTAGTGGCTACTAACCGGGGTCTGTAGGATCTTCCCAGGACCAGTATGAGCTTTGGGGTGTTTGGGGAGGCAGAGCTTAAGAACCAGTTCCATGCCAAAAGAAGCTTCTCTCTACAATTTGTTCATTTGTTTGTTAGTTTGAAGTGTTAGATCTCTATTTCAGAGAGACTCAGGGATGGGATAAGCTGTGATGTATCAGCCTGAGATGCCTCACCTGTGGAGAGCAGGTGAAGTGTGGGCTGGGTACCGGGGTAGTTCAAGGTTGCAGTGATAGACTTTCTATTCTGACAATTTCTGGAAGCATGGTTGAGGGCCTGGGAGGGGGAGGGTAGGGGGGATCCAGGCCATGTGACACACTGTAATCCCTCTGCTTGGGTTCTCATGGTCAGCGGGAACTGAACCAGAGGCTCCTGAACCTGGTCTCCCCACCCTCCAGTTGTGTGCAAGGGACTGCTTTAACGGCCATCAGAGATGGCTGCAGCTGGGTGTCCATCGGTTTCCTTTTCCTGACTCTCCTTCCCACAGCCTCACCCTCCCCACACAGCAGGAAAGGTGGGGCAGGAATGCCTTGGCCCAGGACCAGGGCCAGAGTCCCGAAGTTCCCGCCCTCCTCTCTTCTGGAGCCAATTCTCTCAGAGTCCTGGATTCTGCTAGAGACCTGTGATGCCCCTGTGGCATCTTTGGGGGTAGATTCAGGAAGACTGATCCCTCTTCCCATTTTCTGGGGTCTGCCTGATGTCACCTGCCCATCCTTGGCTGTCTTGATGACATATTTTGTCTTACCCAGGTCTGCTAATCTCATTGCTTTAGAGCGCAAGGACTAGGCAGAGTGAGACACTTGAACTCCACCCTGAGGTGGAGTCCCAAAGTCTTATCAGGTCAGGCCATTGGCACAATGATCATCCTTGCCAAGTGAAGATCAGCAAGGGCTGATTTGCCTGAGCAGGGCCACAGAGAGCCCCGCTGTGGCGGTGGTTCAAACATGCATCCTTACTACCCTTGCCTTCTGTCAGGATGCTGCATGGCTGTTTGCTTAGAAGATCCCTCACTTAGGGCAGGATATTTCAAGGCTCCAGCAGACCTACCCCGCGTACCCCAGTGATCCTACTCCTGAGAGGGACCCATCTGGCAGGCTCAGTCTTGTTCAAGGAGGCAGACATACAGGGTCTGAGCTTTCTCATTGCCTGGCCCCATCTGTCACTGTCATCAGGTTTGTCTTGCTGAGTCTGATGTTTGATCTGCTATTATCTTGCTCTGAAGCCCTCCATGATCTTCAAGCTTGAGGCCAACTCAAGCTTCTCTGCTGGCCAATGAAAGTAGGCCATTCTCACAGGCTGGACCAACACTCCCATGAGTCTTTGCTTTTATTTCTCCCTACTATGCTGTCCTTTTCTTCCCCCTCCTCCTCTCTCTCCCTCCTGTAGCTGGAGTTTCTTTCCAGCCTGGCCCCTCAGCCGATTTTGCCCCAAGTAATCACACAGACATTATATTAATTATTATAAAACTGTTGGCCGATGGCTAGGGCTTCTTACTGGCTGGCTCTCTCTTAATTATTAACCCATTTCTATTGATATATGTATTGCCATGAGGCTGTGGCTTACCTGTAACCCAGCATGTTACTCCTTGGACAGCATGGAGTCTCTTTGCGGCCTCCCTCTCTGCCTGCCTGTCCCCAGCCTTCTTCTGGTCTGGTAGCCCCACCTATGTTTTCTGCTTGGCTATTGGACAATCAGTGTTTTATTCATCAACCAATAAGAGAAACATACATATAGAAGAGCATCCCCCATCGCCCTCCTTCTCTTCTTTTCTGTCAGGTCCCAGGCTGCCCTCAAATTCACAGCAAACTCTTGCTGCCTCAGCCTCTCCAGTGCTGGGTCTACACATGTCCCCACCATGCTCTGCTGCTCATCCTTGTCTCTCCTTCGTGGCCTCAGAAGGAGGCCTCCAGAGGCTCTTGTATCAAGTCTTTACTGGCTTACTCAGCTCTATCTAGTGACAAGGAACCTGAGCCTGGCCATCATGATATTGTTGAGCTCTTCCAATAGCGTGCGTGTCCTTTCCCCCAATGACTGCATAGTCCCTGAGTGGGGACTTTCATTGGAAAAGTTGCCAGGGCAAAGAATGACTAGTTAGTCATCTTCCTGGGCTTATGGATCCATGGTAGGGTTTGAGCAGGCCAAAACTGAGCTTGAAGTGTAGATGGAGGTTTCTGTTCTGCCTGGTCCAGCATCCAATTCACCCCAAATAGACACACGGATGCTATATTATAAAATTGTTGGCCGATGGCTAGGTCTTCTTACTGGCTAACTCTCTCTCTCTTAATTATTAACCCATTTATATTAATTTATGTATTTCTATGTGGCCTTATCTTGCCTGAGAAGGTTCCGGACCTGTTTCTCCTTCTCAGCTACATGGCATCTCTTCCCGGCCTCTTTCTGCCTTCCTACCCAGCCTTCTCCTCTGGTAGCCCTGCCTATACTTCCTTCCTGGCTACTGGCCAATCAGTGTTTTATTCATCAACCAATAAGAGTAACATATACACAGAAGGACATCGTACTCTTGGGTGGAAAGGGATTCACCCCTTGGTAGTTTTCAACTCTCCCATTCCAGGGCCCCATCAGAGAGCAGGGCAGAGGTCAGGGGTCAGAATAGATCTCTTTTTTGAGAGAAGCTGGGCCCAATGAGAGTCGGATGTGGATGGTTATGGGACTCGCTTCTGAGAACTGGGGATGATATTGGTGACCCTGTCATGTTCTCTGGCTGTGACCTGTGTCCTTCCTATCCAATAGGCCTTGTATGTCTCACCCCCTGGCTATGTGTAGCTCTGAGGAAGCAGACTTGCTTCGGCTGGAGGAGGTCTTCTCAACCACCCTTGCCCGCACCAACAGTCTCATTCTCCAGCCCCTGCTCTCAGCTGGTGAGTCAGGCCCTCAGTCGGGAAGGGAGGGGACACAGGAGTGGCCCTCTGGGATTAGAGCTCTGCCTTGTTAGACATTCTGAGGCAGCTGTTTCTCAGCCTTAAGTGGGAGTGGTGGCACTTGATGGAGCTGAGGCCTTGGCCACAGGGAACCGTCAGTTTCCTTCCCAGATGACCTTTGAGGACCACAGGTCTAGATATATTGCTTGCGTCACTTCTGTTCCTACTCAGGGCTCCTGGTGGTGCTTTGGAAAGGCCTGACTAGAAGGCAGAACATACAAGGCTTTCACCTGGGGGAGGGGGTGTCTCCCTTTCCATGTGACCTTGGGCAGGTGCCTTCCTCCCACTGTGCGTCTAAAAGGTGTCTGGGGTCTGGAGAGAAGAGATGGAGAGTCAATGGAGCTAGGAGACTTGGTTCCCCCGAGATGATTATGGTTGTCCTGTTAAATAAGAGGCATATACACAGCCCTTTACCCCAGTATGCTTTGTCCCCCCACCCCAGGAGCTCTAGGCACTAGAGTCTAGGGGTGCTAGTACTGTCCTGAGCACCCCAGCTCAAGGCGGTCATGCTCTCCACAGACCCGGAACCGTCAGATCCCCATGGCAGAGAGTGCCTTCGGCTTCTGCAGCAGCTGCATGAAAGTTCCCAACGGTTATGGGAGGTGACAGAGCAGAGCCTGCATTCGCTTCGGCAGAGGCTATACCACCCGCCCTCCAAGGGTCTGGAGACCCTGCTGTTACTGAACAGTGCTGACCATGTCCTGCAGGCCCACATGGAGTAAGACCCTCTCTGGGGCAGCCTGTTGCTTGGCCAAAGTGCCACCTCCATCACTTGGTCCTAAGGGTCCACTGGAGTGGGGTTCCTATGGGCTTGGGTGTTGGCTTGGCAGCAGGCTCAGAGGCTCAGACCTGGATCAGGTCTATAAGATACAACTGCTGAGTTAGGGCTTGAGGGTGTCAAGGAATTGCCTGGGCCATAGGGTTCTGGCTGTGCAGTGGGTGATATCTGGGACCCCAAAAGGGGAGGGCTGAGTGTGCTGGGAGCTGGGCTTTCAAGGTGATCCTGGGTTGTCCACAGGTACATCGAGTCGTATACTGACTGTGTGGTGATGCAGGCCTTTCAGAAGGTCTCAAAGAGGAGGAGGTGAGCCTGGAGCTGCCATGGTAGCTCCCTGTGTGGGTGTCTAGGTGAGGGGGATTTGAGGAAGCCCACTCCAAAGGAGCAGGTGTCTGCAGTTAGTGTCCCTATCTCCTCTGAGGTGAGGCTGATGGGCTAATGGGGTACAGGGTTGGGGTCCTGGGTCTGAGAGCTGGGAGAGCGGTTAGAACAGGTGGTACAGGTGGGTGTGGGCTTGGAAAGGGTGAGGGCTGTATGTGGCCCTTCCTACCTGCAGTGAGTACTGGAGGAGCCAGAGGAAGAAGCTGCAGCAGCTGCTGTCCTGGGCGAGCTCTGAGGGCTCAGTGGGCACCACACTGTGCCAAGCCCTCAGCCAGCCACTCACCCAGCATGTGCAGAAATATATCCTACTCCTACTGAGCCTCAGGGACACCCTTGACAAGGTTGGTACTGACAGGAGTCTAAGAATGGATATCTGGAGGGGAGAGGAGAAGCAGGGCTCAGAGGTTAAACAGTAGAGAGGGGCCCCAAGAGAACATAGCCTTGGGGGGGGCATCCTGAGGGCATGAACCTGCCCTATGGAATCTTGGACACATGGCTCTGCTTCCATGGGGACAGGTGACACTCAAAGAGTACACATAGAATTCTCTACTGGGTGTGAGGCCATGCAATTGATGTCACTGAAATGTCCTAATCCATCGGGAAGCATCTTAATGCTCCCTCCCGTCCCTAGAAGAGCAGTCAGGGAGTGAGGCCAGGCTGGGGTCCTCATGGCCATCACAAGGATGGGGGGATGACAGACAACAGGTTCCAAGACCCTCAGGCCCTTCCCGCCTGCCTTGTCCTCCTGTAGTGCCATCCAGCCCAGGAGCTGGTGATGCGTGCGGTCACCCTGTTTGGGAACCTGCAGTCCTTCCTGAGGCAGGCCTTGGACCAAGCTGTGGCCACACAGGCCCTGTGGTACAGCCTCAACAGCCGCGCAAGGGTGAGTCTGGGGCTTTGGGACAGTCAAGGAAGAGGGTTCTACACTGGATGTGAGGCTGGGCTGGGTGACTTGAGAGCAGCTCTCTGCCTCAGTTTCCCCATCTGGAAGGAAGGCTGTAGGGAACTCCTACACAGCTGCAGCTGGCTCCGTTTGGCACATAGCCTTAATCCTTCAGCACCTTCTATTTAGCAAATGTAAATCGGGCCTGAAAGGTGCAAAGCCTATGCAAAACTTCCTTGGAAACACCACCACTCCCCCCACCTCCCCACCCCCCCACCACCCCGGAAGAGATGCCCTAGTATTCCTTATTGGCATTGTCCCTTGGAAGCTTGATTAAGATGTTTTGGGGATATGGAAATCAACTGGCTAAGGTGTAAATTGGAGAACAATAAACAAGCCCTTGGCTAAGGAAAAGCATCTCAGTCTGCAGAGGTTGGATTTCCTGTAGCCTGAAAGGCTATTTTATTCATGGTGCCTCTGTGTCTTCTTCCATGGACTTGCATGACAGCAAAGACTGATAACCAGGAGCCTGTCACCCTTAGCCATCTGCTGGGTCAGAAGAACTGACTTTCTCTAGACATATGCTTGTCACTGTCTAGCACAACATATAATGCCCCTGGCAGGAAAGAGAGTCCTTGTGTCCCCAGAAGGCATGCAGGCTTGGAGCTGTAGTAGAGAGGGCCAGAATAGCCCTGGGAGACAGGGTATAGCATATGGATGAGGGTAACAGGAACCCTCTGGCTGTGATAGGGGTACAGTATGGAGACATCCAGGATAATCCCAGAGAGAGAAGCTGTACTGCCCTTCTGGGCTAGCCCAGGAATGACCCCCACCCCATCTGGGGGAACGCGTGCATGTGTGTGTGTGTGTGTGACCTGGTGTGTGTGTGTGACCTGGTGTGTGTGTGTGTGTGTGTGTGTGTGTGAGAGAGAGAGAGAGAGAGAGAGAGAGAGAGAGAGAAACCTGGTGTGTGCGCGCGTGCGCGCGCGCGCGCGCGCGTGTGTGTGTGTGAGACCTGGTGTGTGTGTGTGTGTGTGCGTGTGTGTGTGTGTGTGTGTGTGTGTGTGTGTG